GGAGCCGCCGGCGGGGGCGTGGCCTTTTCCTCAGCTGTGTGGCCTTGGTGTTCTTCCCCAGGCTTAGAGTAAGGCCTTGCTTCTCTGGTCTCCATGGGAAATTTAAACCTTTCACGATGTGTGATAATACTCTTTCGCGCGTCAGTGACTCTGGGGACGTGATGCAAATTCTCAGTACACTGGGGTGAAGAGGTTTATGCCACGTTGTTCAGAACTACGGAAGGGTCGTCAGTGTCGATGGAAATAGCAAAAATTAACATGCAAGAAACAAAAATTAAGCCTGGTTCGTGGAGTCTGCAGTGAACAGTGAAGTAGGCACCACACTCCTGGAACACCTCGATTAAAACAAAGTGTTGCAGGCAAGATGAGCAGCTCATCCAAAATAGACGGGTAAGGACCAAGTCCGGAGTACAGCTCTTTTTCTTTTCGAACTGAAACCTCAAATCGTTTGCTTTTAAATTGGGTGGGAACCCCGAAGTTCGTGCTGGCTCTGCAGGGCTCACACTAAGGTGGCAAGACTCGGTACAGCAAGATGTGTGTGTGTGTGTGTGTGTGTGTGTGTGTGTGTGTGTGTGAGGTGGAACAAGATGGCAGGATCAGCAATGTACTTACCTTAGCTTTCCTCTTAGTATTTTGATAAAGATAGTTACCAAGTAAACATGTAATGAAAAAAAGCTATAATCTGGGGAGAAAAATGTATGTAAGGAAGATGGTTCTATTCCTAAATGCTCATTGATATTTCACCTCTACATCCGGATGGTTGGGAGATAGCATAGTGTAGTTAACAATAGCTTTTCTTTCCTTTTCTGTCCCTCCCTCCCTTTCTCCTTTCCTTTTTTAGTTCCTTTTCTCTCTTTTTCCAGTACTGGGGATTGAACTCAGGGCCTCTGTACTGATCTACATCCCCATCTCTTTTAACTGAATTTTTTACAATTTTAAGGCAAGTTCTCACTAAGTTGCCTGGGTTGGCTTGAACTGAGAGGATCCTCCTCTCAGCCTCGCAGAGTGCTAGATTATCAGTATGCACCACCAAGCCTGGTTAAATATTAGCTTTTCTATTTAAATCTAATTCATGAGATCTACTTCTTTCCTATGTTGGGCATTCATGGTTTTCATCATTTTCCTGAGCCCCTGCATTTTTTTTTCTTAATCTGTATCTGCTCTAGAATCACTAACCAAGTCTTTCATTATGGTCACCATCTCTGTAATAATTTGAGAATTATTTCTGATTCGATTTTTTTTTCTAGAACCTCATTCATCTGCTTTGTTGCTTCTGTTATTATCATGTCAGGGAGTGCAGGGCTTTCAAATTGTTCCACCTCATTGTCCCCTTGGTTTGCCTTTGGTGAGCTGGCAGTCAGGTTGCATCTTGCTTAAGTGTTTTTTGTGTTTTGTTTGTTTGTTTGTTTAATTCCTTGGTTGATGCTTTTAAGTTGCTTATGGCAAGTAGCTTTATTGCTAGTATTTAGAACTCTAAGAAATGACTGCTTCTCAGAGATGTCTTCCAGGTGTAGCTGTTTTTTGAGTTTTGAGTTTGTTGCAAGGCTCTACTTCAGTTTATTGGGAATGAGTAGTTGCTGCCTATTTGACTTAGTCCCTGTTTCTTTGACACTGTCCTATTATATTGTTTATGACCCTTAGGCAATCTCAGTCTTGGAGCACCAGAGAAAACAACTGATCAGAACAATTATGTCACCTTGGCTAAAGTAGCGCAATCAAGAATAACGATAGCATCCATCACAACTTAGAAAATGACAAACTGTGATAACTATTGATTTGCTGCCTTTAACCATATGAATTGTATTTGTGGTTATATAACAAAATTAAAACAAATCAGAAAATTGTATACAGTAAATATGCCCTCAATATGGTGATTTTACCCTCAGGGGAGAAAATTTAAAAGGGATAGGGGGGAAAAAAAAGTGCCGGGGATTTAGCTCTGGTTCAGTGGCCTGCCTTGCAAGCGCAAGGACCTGAGTTCAATCCCCGGTACCAAAACAAACAACAACAACAACAAAACAAAGTGTAAAAGGGATAGGGGAAAAATAGAGAGAAATTAAAAAAAAAAAGATTAGAAGCAAGGCTGGAGGACAAAGGAAGACTGCAAACTTTGGGAAACTGATGAAGACAGAAAGCAAAGAGAGAAGGAAGAAATAAATATAAGTGAGCAGAACAACAACAGACACTAGAAACAGTGTTCACACATGTAGAAACAAGAACATAAGAAAAAAATGTCCATTTCAAGGTATGTTTCTACTGTCACTGGTAGGTAAATTGAGCAGATGGAGCCCAGATCCATGTTGATTAATTCCAGCAAGCCAGCTGTAGATTTATAGCAGAGTAGTGGATAATCCTGCTAGGCCTGCACTTTTAGTTCTACTGAAGTTCAGGATGGTTTCTTACTGCCCATGAGTCTGGAGCCTTATTTGTTCAGCCTGATTTGTCATGTGCCTCCTGCCTGGTTGAACACAGCTCCTTGACCTCCTGTCAACTTGAACTTGGTTCTGCTTCTCCCTGATGCTTGGAGCCACTAGATGGAACCAGTCCACAGCTGCTCTGAGTTCCAAGGTAGTTGGTCCCTCTCCAAGATGGCTGCCAGCCAGTTGCCCTCTCCTAGGGTACATCTAAACTCGAATAACTCCACCTACTGCAGCCTGCTGCATCCATTGCTTCATTCCACTGGTATGTTTCCATGGATGCCTCTGGGATTGCCAGTAGTCACCATGCATCTGCAGTTTTGGGCTACCTTTCCTACACAGTGAGTCAGGGATCAGAGAGAAAGTGCTGCTTACCACTCCTTCTTCATTAAAATCTCTCTTTACTCTCCCTGTGGGCTTCATTTCTCACTTAGATCCTTGCTGAGCCCAAGGTACCCACTTCCCTCCTTCTAGTTTTCCTTTCATTGCTATATTCCAGGGTCTGGACACCAAATCTCAGACAGACTGTTTGCTGTTCACCACTCTGCTACATTCCCACTAGTTGACTTAAATAAACTGCATATATTTATCATGTACCATTTGACATATGCATATCACGTAAAACCATAAGCACGATATAACGTGCATCACTATGACCCTGCTTTTTTGTAGTATCTCCTCCCTGCCTCCTACCTTTGAGGTGATCAGATTTAGTGTCATAGTCATGTTTTCTGTATATTCTATAAATGGAATGATGCCATCTGTGTCCTTGTTCAGCATCTTTTCCTCAGCAAACTGTTGAGACTCATCCATGTTATATGTACTTTACCTTTTATTGTCAAGTAAAGTTTCATTGTATAGGTACAATAGTTTGTTCATTGGTTGATAGATATGTAGGTTGGTTTTAGTTTGTAGTTACTGCAGACTGCTAAGTGCATTTGTGTAACAGGCTTTGTATGGAAATCAGCTTATCTTCCAGAGTGCTTAATCTTGTGACAGTAGGTGGCTCTTGGCAATATCCTCACTAAAAAACTTTGTGTGACCTCAGTAGTGTGAGATGGTCTCTCATTGTGTCTTCAATTGTATTTTCCCAATGAAGTGGGACATCTTTTATATGTTTCTAGACCATTCCTATAGCCCTGATCAGCTTTTGGCTCTTCAATGGTTGATGTCTGTTGTTAAGCAAATTTTTAACTTAAAAGTGGTTTAAAATACTGGTCTTTTTTTATCGTTTGGGGCTTGGTGTGTCCTGTTTAAGGGGGAGGCCCTCTCCCCACCACCTCAGTTTTCATACCAATTTCCTGACCCCAGCCTTCTTGACCAACTAGATCAACTAGATTCTTCTTTTGTCTGTTTTTTTTGAGACAGGGTCTTGCTGTGTAGTTCAGGCCTAATTCACTATATAGCCCAAGCTGGTCTCCAACTCACAGCAATTGTGCCTTGGCCCTGAGTGCTGGGATTACAGGCATGTGCCACCACACCTGGTGCTGGATTCTTTTTTTAAAGAACTGTTGTTATATTTTCAGCCTTTTTTGTGTGTGTGTTTTATTTTTGTATTTTGCAACAAGGTTTCCCTGTATAGTTCAGGCTGGCTTTTAACTAGTTATGTAACCCATGCTGGTCTTAAACTCACAATCTGCCTTCTTCAGCCTCCTGAGCGCTGGGATTGCAGACATGCATCACTGTAACTAGCGTCTTCAGCCCTTTAAAAAATCTGTATTTTGGGGTTTGTTTTGTTTTGTTTTTTTGTTTTGAGACAGGGTCTCACTATGTAGTTTAGGCTGGCCTTAATTCACTATGTAACTAAATTTGGCCTCAAGCTCATGGCAATCCTGCCTCTACCTTGTGAGTGCTGGGATTACAGGTATGTCACATTGTCTGGCTGTTGTTATATTCTTACTGGTTTGTAAGAATCTTTATTTTGGAAAATACAGTGGACCCTTGAGTTACGACCAGATTTTAGTTTTAAGTTAGGACCAAAGTCTTGAGTTACCACCCAAAGCCAGCTGCTTGTGCCTTTAGATGGTCTCAGATACAGATTTAACCCTTAAAGAGTTCTGGAAGGAACATTTTAGCAGTCTTTCCCATGTGAGATTGAGAAATCCTGGGCCAATGTCTCTCTTAGGACATTGAAATTTGCCTGGATATGAGAGAGAGACGTTGAAGGCTTGTTTGTAGAGGAGCCTGAGCCTTCAGTTGACTAATTTGAGCTACAACCAGGCCTTGGGATCAAATTGAGTAAGTCATGGGTCCACTGTAAATGTGTTGTGGCAACAGGTATGATATAATCTTCTCCCACTTGGTGTCTTATACTTTTACTTTGTAGTGGCTTAAATTTAACGTAGTAAAGTTTATGAATCTCATCTTCTCTGGCTTGCTTAGATTATATCTTGTTTAAGAAATTCTGTCCTGGGCTGGAGATGTAGTTCAGTGGCATAGTGCCTGCCTGGCAGGCTCGAGGCCCTGAGTTTGTTTCCTGATACCAAAAAGAAAAATGAACCCAGTCCCATGTTCTATACCTATTTGATATGTTGTATTTCATTATCTTTCAGTCTGAAATGCTTTTGAATTTTCCTGTTAATAAAGCTACCTTACCTGAGTTTATTCTAGATTGTTTTGAATTTTAATTTAAACTACTGGTATTTAGCTATACCTCTCCCCATTTATACTCAGTGATTGAGATTATAATAAATATAATTTTCACAATCTACTTAAAATTATTTACTTATTTACTTTTGGTTATTTGAGACAAGGTCTCACTATGTAGTTCAGGCTGGCCTTGAACTTAAGGCCATCCCCCTGCCTCAGCCTCCTGAGTGCTTAGATTACAGATGTGTGTCACTACATCCAGGTACTTAAAAGTTAATATTGTATCATTTCATGTAAAATATAACCACCTTTAACACTTCCTACCTAGATACATTTTTGTACTGATCCAATAAGATCTGCCTATTCTAACATAGAATTTTGTATAAAAGGTCATTTCTTTTCCCATTTTTTAACTACTTATGGACAATGACTTAAAGTTAGCATTAGTAACTAAAAGCAAGAAAGGAAGGGAAACTTTTTTTCCCCAGTGTCTTTTTGGTAGAGACGCACATAAACACACTCTAGTCTGTTTATCTTTAAACGTGTCTGTTTCAGTCTGATTGAAGCCTCCCAGCTGTTTAGGGTGGGGAAGTGGCTTGGTGGTGTGGTGTGAAATACCAGTATTTGGGAGGCTGAGGCAGGATTGGGAGCTCTAGGCCAGCTTGGGCTCCATTTCTAGTTTGCGACCAGCCTAAGCTACCTAATGAGAATCTGTCTCAAAAATTTTTTTTAAAGTTTAGCAATTACTTATTTGCTAGATTTGTACATATCTCAATCTTAAAAGCTTTCAGACAGATATTATCATTTAAACAAATGAACCTCTTCTCTGAATATCAGATCCAGCCAACTTTTCAGTAAAACTCACTGAGCAGTGCAACTCACATTTGTGTGTGTGTGTGTGTGTGTGTGTGTGTGTCTCCTAGCCTTTTGTTTTTTGGTACTGAAGGAGTGACCTCGGGACGTTACGCTTTCGAGGCAGGTGCTGGCACCACTGAACTAAATCCCAGGCCCTCCTAACTCTTTCAAGGCAGGGTTTCACTGAGTCACATAGCTGGTCCTCCAAGTGCTGGGAATAAGTATGCACCACCCCACCCAGCTTCCTCTTATTGATTCCCATTGCCTATTTCCCCTCTCATAGCTCTTCTTCCAATCTTTTATGCAATTCATTTATCTGTTACTGTTGCCTCACTTTCTAGAATGTAAGCTCCTTTGTAAAGCTGTTTCTTTGCTTGTTTTCTCATAATTACCTAAACCAGTGTCTCCCATCTATTAGGTACTAAGCTAATAGTATTTGCTGAATTAATATTGTTTTCACTTGAGTGTTTCACAGCCATCTAATACTGTTCTCCAGTGTTTCCTGTGTACCCTCATTCATCCAACCAAGTACTCATACCAGAGGTACAACTGTATGCTTTCATAATCTTACATTTACCCATAATTTGTTCAGGTAAATATTTTGATCCATCTGCTGTGGATCGGGCAAAATTGTTGACTCTAGTTGTACAGAAATAAACAAGAATTCCTACCCCATGATTTTCAGTGAAGCTTTTATTAGGAAATGCTAAGGAAAATTTAAAAAGCAGGTGGGATCTGAGCCAGTATTTAGTCTGGGGCTAATCAGTTCCCACTGCTGAAATGTGTTGGCTTTTCATCACTGTGGCAAAACACCTGAAGTTAATAATTTCTAGGAGGAAAGCTTTATTTTGACTTGTTTCAAGTTTCATTCCATGGTTGGATGCTCCTGTGGTGGCAGGAGCATGTGGTAAAGCAGCCCTGTTTACCTCATCGTGTACAGTAGCTGGAAAGCACTAAGGGGAGAGGGACCCCAATATCCCCTTCAAGGTCACGTTCCCTATGATGCTAAGTTTCTTCCTCAAGGCTTCACCTCCTTAAGTCGGGATCAAGCCTCCAACATGGCCCTTTAGGAGACACATATGTAAACCATAGCATGCCTGAGGCAAGGCTTTTCTGCCTACTATACCCACTGAATTACAAGGGTTTCCAGTCTGAGTGTGGGAACAGACATTGCACAGAATGTTCCTGAGAGGATACCATTATCAGTAGTTGCTTATGGTGGGTATCGGGGAACAAGGATGGAAGACATATGTGACACGTTTGGGCCACCTTTGTCTTGTGACAGTTACAGGTTTCTTCAGTAGAGGTTAAAACCTACAAAAGTTTTCTGGATTCTATCTTATGTTGGAAGTTTTCCATTGGTCTCTCTTGAATTTCTTCATATGTTGTAAGCAGCAGCACTGACTGCTGTTATTCCAGATTAGCTTGCCAAAGACATTTATACAGTAAAGTATTGGGAGGTGTAGGGGTAGTATCTCCTTCAGGAGCACAGGACAGGTTTATTGTCTGGTATAATAAATTCTTCTACTGGACAAAGTCAGACATGCTTACTGCTTGTTCATTGTAAGATTAAGTTTACCAGAACTCATTAAAATGATTAAGATTTCCAAAGCTTGGTGTTCCTCTCCTGGAATACAGCCCAAAGACATGTGCAGGCATCCACCTAGTACTCTCTGAGGCACTCTGAGATTTGGGCCTGAAGGAACTGTTGATACAGATTCAATATTTGGGCTACTGTTATTACTGTGAAGTAAACTATCCTTTGTCTCTGATGTAACAATATTTAGTCTTCACTCATGGTACTGTTGCAGGCTAATTTCCTACCTTGGAAGTACAGTAGAATCTCAGAACCTTTATGGTTGATACCTTCAGCCTCCGATGAAATGCCACACAGATCATTAGCTGTGGCCTCACCAGCAGCTCTGAGTAAAATGGCACAATTTTAAAGCCCACAGAGGTCTCCTCCCTTGGGCAAACTATAACCAGGAGATGAATTCTGTCTCTGGCAGACTATTCTTAAAGGGTTTCTTTGTAGCTGGCCCAGCGATGTCTCCAAGTAGCCCAGTGACTCTTTTTGTGAAGCAGTTTTGGTAACAGAACTATTTCCTTTGTTCTTCTGTTTCTTCTTTGTAATCTACAGAATCTTAATTTTTTTCTATCAGAACTGACATTGAAAGGTAAAAGTAAATTGAATTCTAAAGAGGTCTAGCACCTCCAAGGAGTTGGGACATACAAACTATTTCACGTTTGGCACAGCAGGAAGGAAAACTGCTAAGAATACACAAAAGTTTTATGTTCTTGGCAGTTGTGGGTTAGCATCTCACTTTGGTATAACAGGGAGTCCCAGTTATTAAGAATGTCTATACTCATGCATAAACATTTTTTAATGATCTTCCATCAGGTGTTCACAGGAGACAGTGGAGATGTAACAGGAGACTGAACAGAACCCCCTAGAAGGCCCAGATATCCAGAACAGCTGCTGCTGAGGTGGACAGGCACAAAATCCTACCTGTTTCCTGGACCACTCTGCCACAAGCAAAAGCCTTAAGTCATTGATGGAGGGTCTACATATAGTCTCCCAGAACACAGATGTTGCTTTTGGGGGAGAAGCAGAAGCCAAATCCCTCTGCCTCTGAGAGAGAAATAGTAAACACACTCAATCCCACGACAAAGGCGAAGACCCTTTATTTCTTGGAGGTTGGGGGTAGAAGCAAAATATCTTCATAATTTGATATTATTACTACCACTACTGGGGAAGGAGCAGAAAACCGTGCTGAAGACTAACTACTAATACATGAGGAAGAGACTGGGAATACCAAGACTCACTTCTAAAGGAGGCGCAGGCACACAGGTACACTTCCTAACACTGAGGCTGGGATAGGACCACAAATATTATGGACAGTGGCAAGCAGAATTACATGCCCTGTCATTTCCAGGAGACATTACTGAGAGCCCACCCAGCTTGCTAGGCCAACTTCTGTGACTTCTGTTGGCTGCATGCTGCATGGGAAGGACCTGGGAGAACCTAAAGCCACACGATGGAGGCAGTGACCTTTGAGGATGTGGCTGTGAACTTCACCACAGAAGAGTGGGTTCTGTTGAATCCATCCCAAAAGAAGCTCTACAGAGATGTGATGAGGGAAACTTTCAGGAACATGGCTGCTATAGGAAGAGCCCGGGATAACCAGGAAATTGAAGAAGAGTGCAAAAATTACTGGAGAAATCTAAGAAATGAAGAGGTAGAGAAATGCTATCAAAATAAAGTTTGGAATCAACATGAAGAAGTACTCCTTTGGACTCCAGATGCTGATGAAGAGATGAAGCAAGCTGGTTTAAAACCATCTGAAAGCCTTGCTTGCAGAAAGCCCCTGATTGGGCATTTGTCACTAAATGTGCCTATTATAGCTCACACTGGACTGAAGACATATGAGTACTTGGGATCGGAAGAGCTGTGTAAATATAATGAACATGGAAGGACCTGTGATTTTCAGTCCTTTCAGAAGCATGCAAGGACAAAGAACATGGAGAAACTCTATGAATATGATCAATGTGGAAAATCCTACTCTGATCTTAGTGAAAGAACTCACCGTAGAGAGACCTTTATTTATAAGAAAAATTTGAAAGACTCCAGCACACCCAGTGATGTTCAGATCCATGAAAGAAATCACAATGGGGAGAAACCCTATGTATGTAAACAATGTGGAAAAGCTTTCAGTAGGCGTCAACATTGTAAACAACATGAAAGAATTCACACAGGGGAGAAGCCCTATGTATGTAAGCAGTGTGGGAAAGCTTTTAGTACACAGCGCTACTGTAAAATACATGAAAGAATTCATACAGGGGAAAAACCCTATGTATGTAAGCAATGTGGGAAAGCTTTTAGTACACAAGATTATTGTAAAATACATGAAAGAAATCACACTGAGGAGAAACCCTATGTATGTAAGCAGTGTGGGAAAGCTTTTAGTACACAAGATTATTGTAAAATACATGAAAGAATTCACACTGGGGAGAAACCCTATGTATGCAAGCAGTGTGGGAAAGCTTTTAGTACACAAGGCTGTTGTAAAATACATGAAAGAACTCACACAGGGGAAAAACCCTATGTATGTAAGCAGTGTGGGAAAGCTTTTAGTACTCAAGATTATTGTAAGGTACATGAAAGAATTCACACTGGGGAAAAACCCTATGTATGTAAGCAGTGTGGGAAAGCTTTTAGTACACAAGGTTGTTGTAAAATACACGAAAGAATTCATACTGGCGAGAAACCCTATGCCTGTAAGCAGTGTGGGAAAGCTTTTAGTACACAAGATTATTGTAAAATACATGAAAGAATTCACACAGGGGAGAAGCCCTATGTATGCAAGCAATGTGGGAAAGCTTTTAGTACACAACGTTATTGTAAAATACATGAAAATATTCACACAGGGGAGAAACCCTCCCAGAACACAGATGTTGCTTTTGGGGGAGAAGCAGAAGCCAAATCCCTCTGCCTCTGAGAGAGAAATAGTAAACACACTCAATCCCACGACAAAGGCGAAGACCCTTTATTTCTTGGAGGTTGGGGGTAGAAGCAAAATATCTTCATAATTTGATATTATTACTACCACTACTGGGGAAGGAGCAGAAAACCGTGCTGAAGACTAACTACTAATACATGAGGAAGAGACTGGGAATACCAAGACTCACTTCTAAAGGAGGCGCAGGCACACAGGTACACTTCCTAACACTGAGGCTGGGATAGGACCACAAATATTATGGACAGTGGCAAGCAGAATTACATGCCCTGTCATTTCCAGGAGACATTACTGAGAGCCCACCCAGCTTGCTAGGCCAACTTCTGTGACTTCTGTTGGCTGCATGCTGCATGGGAAGGACCTGGGAGAACCTAAAGCCACACGATGGAGGCAGTGACCTTTGAGGATGTGGCTGTGAACTTCACCACAGAAGAGTGGGTTCTGTTGAATCCATCCCAAAAGAAGCTCTACAGAGATGTGATGAGGGAAACTTTCAGGAACATGGCTGCTATAGGAAGAGCCTGGGATAACCAGGAAATTGAAGAAGAGTGCAAAAGTTACTGGAGAAATCTAAGAAATGAAGAGGTAGAGAAATGCTATCAAAATAAAGTTTGGAATCAACATGAAGAAGTACTCCTTTGGACTCCAGATGCTGATGAAGAGATGAAGCAAGCTGGTTTAAAACCATCTGAAAGCCTTGCTTGCAGAAAGCCCCTGATTGGGCATTTGTCACTAAATGTGCCTATTATAGCTCACACTGGACTGAAGACATATGAGTACTTGGGATCGGAAGAGCTGTGTAAATATAATGAACATGGAAGGACCTGTGATTTTCAGTCCTTTCAGAAGCATGCAAGGACAAAGAACATGGAGAAACTCTATGAATATGATCAATGTGGAAAATCCTACTCTGATCTTAGTGAAAGAACTCACCGTAGAGAGACCTTTATTTATAAGAAAAATTTGAAAGACTCCAGCACACCCAGTGATGTTCAGATCCATGAAAGAAATCACAATGGGGAGAAACCCTATGTATGTAAACAATGTGGAAAAGCTTTCAGTAGGCGTCAACATTGTAAACAACATGAAAGAATTCACACAGGGGAGAAGCCCTATGTATGTAAGCAGTGTGGGAAAGCTTTTAGTACACAGCGCTACTGTAAAATACATGAAAGAATTCATACAGGGGAAAAACCCTATGTATGTAAGCAATGTGGGAAAGCTTTTAGTACACAAGATTATTGTAAAATACATGAAAGAAATCACACTGAGGAGAAACCCTATGTATGTAAGCAGTGTGGGAAAGCTTTTAGTACACAAGATTATTGTAAAATACATGAAAGAATTCACACTGGGGAGAAACCCTATGTATGCAAGCAGTGTGGGAAAGCTTTTAGTACACAAGGCTGTTGTAAAATACATGAAAGAACTCACACAGGGGAAAAACCCTATGTATGTAAGCAGTGTGGGAAAGCTTTTAGTACTCAAGATTATTGTAAGGTACATGAAAGAATTCACACTGGGGAAAAACCCTATGTATGTAAGCAGTGTGGGAAAGCTTTTAGTACACAAGGTTGTTGTAAAATACACGAAAGAATTCATACTGGCGAGAAACCCTATGCCTGTAAGCAGTGTGGGAAAGCTTTTAGTACACAAGATTATTGTAAAATACATGAAAGAATTCACACAGGGGAGAAGCCCTATGTATGCAAGCAATGTGGGAAAGCTTTTAGTACACAACGTTATTGTAAAATACATGAAAATATTCACACAGGGGAGAAACCCTATATATGTAAGCAATGTGGAAAAGCCTTTAGTACACAAGATTACTGTAAAATACATGAAAGAATTCACACAGGGGAGAAACCCTATGTATGTAAGCAGTGTGGGAAGGCTTTTAGTACACAAGATAATTGTAAACAGCATGAAAGAATTCATACAGGGGAAAACCTATATATGTAAGCAATGTGGAAAAGCCTTTAGTACACAAGATTACTGTAAAATACATGAAAGAATTCACACAGGGGAGAAACCCTATGTATGTAAGCAGTGTGGGAAGGCTTTTAGTACACAAGATAATTGTAAACAGCATGAAAGAATTCATACAGGGGAGAAACCCTATATATGTAAGCAATGTGGGAAAGCTTTTAGTACACGACGTTACTGTAAAATACATGAAAAAATTCACACAGGGGAGAAACCCTATGTATGTAGACAATGTGGAAAAGCTTTTAGTACACAACGCTATTGTAAAATACATGAAAGAACTCACACTCAGCATTAATTCTATGCCTGTAAGAAATGCAGGAAACCTTTCAGCATTTGTGGTGTTTGCCAAAGACACTCACAATGGGGAGAAACCATATGTATATAAGCAATGTGAGACTGCTTTCAGTACACGTGTATTGTCAGATACATGATAGAAACCTCACTGGGAAGAAACTATTATGTAAGCCCATTTTGAAAACAAAATTTCTTCTGTAAGTAGAGTCACATAGTTACTCCTATAGGGGTAATACAAAAAGTTTAAGGTCAATTATTTCTCCATAAAATTTCCACAAATAAAATCCCAGATAGAGATCCTAAAGTACATACATTATGTTTTTCGGTAAATCACTTAAATATCTGAATTATGTATGTAGTGTTTAATATAGAAATATTGAGTTGACAAAATACCTTTGTGTCTTTGAGCTTAATACATAAATGTCAAGCATGGAATTAAAATGTATTTTTTACTTTCAAGTAGAGTTAGTATTTGTGTAGTTTTTGTTTAGTCTACAATTTGGAGGTATAAGCCACTAAATTAATTAGGATTTTGCCACTACTTTTCACTTAAATATCTGAATTATGTATGTAGTGTTTAATATAGAAATATTGAGTTGACAAAATACCATTGTGTCTTTGAGCTTAATACATAAGTGTCAAGCATGAAATATAATGTATTTTTTACTGTCAAGTAGAGTTAGTATCTGTTTAGTCTACAGTTTGGAGGTATAAGCCACTAAATTAGGATTTTGCCACTACTGTTGTTTTAAATTTTTGGTGTGAATATTATGTATTCTGTGTAATATTTTTGAATATGCCATATTTTATATTAAGATAAATATTTTCAGAACTTGTGAACATTTTTGACAGTTGATTTGTTTTCACATAACTTGTACATAATGTTTCTCATATTAACAAGATATCCACTTATATCCCAACATTATATATATCATGTACCCAATTTTGCCTATTTTCTTTCATATTAAAGCTAATATTACTTACATAAAATTGTTTTCTTACCATTAAAAATTTTAAAACGTCCCAGAAGAAAAGAAATATTTGTAGAGTTAATGACAAGAGTTTTCAACTCAGAGAACTCCAAATAGGATAAATAAGAAAAAGAAAAACATACCCATGGGCTAGAGTAGTTCAGTGCAAGAGTTTGCCTAGAATGTGCAAGACCTGAGTTGAGCCCCAGCACCACAAAAACAAAGCCTAGACATTTTCAGTCAAAAGTTGAGATCTTTGCCAGAAGACTTATCAGAAACATATGTACACAAGGAAATCTGTGCTTTGTAACAAACTATCTTGAGTGACTTGAAAACATTTTCTGAGTCTGGGGCTTAGGAATAAATACAAAGCCAGTTTAGCTGAGTGATTCAGGGTTGTTCATGTGGTTGCAGTTCCACTGTTACTTTCAACTAGAGTCATGAAAGCTCAAGTAGGGTCGGGGATCCACTTTCAAAGCCATTCAATTTTCATGACTGGAACAGACCCAAGTTCTTCAATATGTGGGATTCTCTGTAGGACTATCTTTATGATGTGTCATTACCAACTGGCTAAGGGTTCTTTGGCTGAATTAGGATAAGGTCATGAACACACCAAGGCATCTCCTTTAGTGCCAGCAGCTCCTAGAAGCTGGTGTTTATGGCTCTCGTAGGCACTTTGGCCAGCTCCTCAGCTGTTAAGAGATAGTAGCTCCTGACAGCTCTCCACAGTTCTCACTGTTCTGTTCTTTGGCAGCTAGGTACACAAGGTCAGTAGACTGTAGTGCAGCCAGCTCAGTCCACTAATGGGGAAATCAGACCATCCAAATGAGATCACTGGGGCTCACACTGCAGCATTGTTGGGGTGGCATGTGCGCAACCTCTTGCCTAGTACGACTACTGTCATGGCAGTTTGTGCTCAGAGTGTTGGGACTGCCTATTTTGGCTTTCACAAATAGGGAGGTGCTCCTCAGGCCAGTGAAGGGACACCGGGAGTGGCTCCAGTGTGGGCTGTCTGGAGCAGTGATCGTAAGTACAGTGGCGGGTTTACGCCTTCTTGCAACCACAGCAGCTACAGGAGTGGAATTGTTGGTTCAGATTCTGTAGAAGTGGCCGGCACATATCATCTCAGCCAGCCTGGTATGGTGGTAGCAGTCCCTAATTTGACCCCTATTTTTGTCTGGCTCTGCAGCCATGTGGCTGCCCTAAGACTGATGGCAGTCAAAGCTACAGGCCACTGCTAGGCTGCCTAACACCTGCTCATTTGGGTCCCATGGAAAACAAAATGAAAAGAACGAAAGTAGCTCTTTTTGGAGAGTGGCATGCCCTCCTAGTATTCTCTCAATGTCAACTGACACTTTTTTCAAATATTATCACTTATCACTGAATTCTTCAGGTTTTAAAGTTATAGAAAAGCACATATATAAGTGTGTGTGTATACACATGTATACACACACATATGACACAAAGCTGTTAAAATATGTAACTGTGTAGGAGACTCATCTGCTTCTACCTAGTTTCCATCAACTGGTGGTTTCCAATTTCAAAAGAGTAAATTTATATTTCATCAATAAAGTATTTAAATTTGATTCTAAATACCAATTTTATTTTGAAATCTATTACTTTCAATTATAGACAAAATTGGCTTCTGTCCATCTGTACTTAAAGCTCCTTGTTACGGCTTCTTCATACATTCAGAACTGTACCTTTTGTGATTTCACACTGGGCACCCTTACCATGAACAGAGAATTGATATGACTTTGTTGCTTGGTAGCACTTTAACAAAGTAAAGCTGTAAATAGCAGAAATTGGTTGCATTACTTTGTTATCAATAAAATGGTTGCACTGCTTTGAACAAAGCAGGTATTTGGGTGGAATTTTCATGTAGCTTAAGTATTTGAAAACTGCCTTTTAATACCATTGCATTCCTTTTTTACTCTGGGAAACACCACCGGGACCTGCAAGGTTACTTTCTCTTGTGGATATTTTATCACTTTTCAAGTTGTATAAAAGTTGTACAATTTAAAACACCATTGCAGAAACCCTACACAAAGGTATCGTATGCCTTTCCAGAACAGAAAATAGAAATGTACAAGTAAAATATGTTGATCCAAAACTCCATGTTAGATGACAGGTTAAGAATCATGGGATGTAAGAGTGCATGCAAATACTGGCAAACTCCAAATGAGGGAGGGCTGCCTCTAATATACTAATGTTAATTTCATGATTTCAATAGCTGTATTAGTTACTTAAAATGCTGTCTTTGACATGTTGACACATGCCTATAACCCCAGCCGCTCAGGAAGCTGAGGTAGGAGGATCACAAGTTCAAAGCCAGCCTAGGCATTTTAAACTTCATCTCAAAAACAAACTATATAGTTTTCAAATATTTAAGCTATAGATAGATATTGCATGGTGTAGGTACCTAACATGTACTCTCTAGCATCTATCAAGCTGTAACAAGCTTTGTTCCTTGTTGACAGGAACAGGATGCTGAACATGGCTTTCTGGGTAAGGAAGGACAAAGCTCTGAAGACCAGATCAAGCTTGCAAGACTGGCCAGTTGTGGTGGTGCACACCTGTAATCCCAGCACTTGGTTGAGGCAGGAGGATCGCTGTGAGTTTGAGGCCAGCCTGGGTTAAATAGTCGAAGGCTACCCAGGACTACACAGTGAACTCTGTCTGAAATGAACAAACAAAAAGTGCGGGCTGTCTTGCACAACTGGTACACAAGATAGGGAATCGATGAGTCCCTTTTTCCTTCCTGTTAACAATGACAGGCAGGTAGAAGTAGGATTAAAATGCCACCTAGAGTACAGTCATCCATCACTTAACCACAGAGACAGTTCTAAGAAATGCATCATTCTGCAGTATCTTAGGCTAACTGTACTTACAAAAACTAAGATGGCTACAATGTTATGAGGTAATACAAAGTTACGGGCCAACATTTACATGTATATGTGGTCTCTATTATCGAGGAAACACTGTTACGCAGTGCACTACTACATCTCGAATGTTACTCTCTTCCAGGCAGGAAGAGGCTGGAATGTCACAAAAATAGTACAGCAAGCCCTGTGGCCCTGGCTGAATGTCAGTTGTGGTTGAGGTTGCTGAGGCTGGGACTTCCCAGAGCAAAAAAATCAGTGTTATCAGCAATGAGGACTTTGATATTTGATGTGGAAATTTATTTAACAGAGGCTGTGTGGTCACTTAGAAGTAAATAGAGAAAAAGCCTTACATAACAATGTACAGCCAAAATGTAGTTCCTGCTATAGTCCGACTTGTCTGCGAAGAGGATGAGGCTCTGCATGCCAGGGTGGTCAAAGCTGGAAGACTGTGTGGTAGAACAGTGTCAGGGTGAGCGGACAAGAAGCGAGGGGTCCCGGAGACTGGACTCACCTGATGTAGGAGATGAGGAAGTTGCAGCAAAACTGCAGTGCTCAGGCAATGAACCCGGAGATAGAGGTCAGTGGAGAACCTGATAATCCTATTTCCTCCCCAGCCAACACCGCTGTCTCTGTGGACTCAACTCTGCCTCGTGACATGCGCAGCCCAGGGAAAATCGGGTCTCTAGGCAGCTGTGCTGTGTGTAACACCTCAAGCACATGTTAAACTACCCCACCCAATTTTCTGTACAAAAGAAGGCACCTTAATTCAATTTATCAGGGATTGAATTTTTCAATGGAAAAAGGAAACGGAAATTGGTGGGCCCCTTGGGGCAATAGAGCTGAGATGGCAGGCACTACAATGACAGATCAAAACAGAGAGCCACAATAAAATGGTCCAGGCTGAATCACTTGCTGACATAGGGCAGGCAAGAGGCTAAACCAGGGAAGCCGCTCTTCTGTTCTCCCCTACGGAACGGCACACTAAGGCGATCACAACAGACACACAGTCCCCTCACTGCTCTACGAACTCTAAAAAGGCTCCTGCAGGCTTGGGAATGGGATAGGGACGGGGAGAAAGGAAGGGCTACGAGTGGAAAGAGCACCAAACAGCAGATCTCCGGGGAGCTCGGGAGCAAGGACTCTGCCCAAGCCCCTCGCTCAGAGAGGCCTCTAGCTGCCAACAATAGTTCAGGGTCCAAGTGCCTGGCTGGTTCTGGAACCTTTTTCTTCTGTTTTGCCTTTATAGCTATTATAGCCATTGTAGCTTTATAGCTATTTGCCTTTATAGTTATTTAATAACATGAAAGACCAAGATTAATCTTTTTCTTTGGTGGATTCCAACTTCATGACACTAAACATCAATGAAACAAAGTAAACATAATTGGAAAAAACCCTGGCATAATGGAAGGTCAAATACTCATTTGTAGAAGCATATAAAAATAGGTGAATCCAGGGGTTCACAGGTGCATGTGCTCAATAAATTAAAATTCCCATGTCTGTGGTTACCACTAACTTAGATGGAAACAACCAAGCAACTGGCAGACTTATTTCATAGCAATTGGCAGACTTTAATATCCAAGAAAAATTAAGTCCATCATACACATTAAAAATATAGGAAATTTCATGCAGACATGAAGCTTCCAATTCAGCCTTATGGCAGCTTTTAGAATGAGAATTAGCTAAAATACAGTACACTTTATAATTTTATACTGCGATTTATACGGCTTCTCTTTATATTTCATACATACATACATATGTATGTATGTATATGTGTGTGTATGCACCACTTTAGAATATGGAAATTTTTAAAAATCCAAGCACAACGACCACTTAGTGAAAAGGAAAACATCTGTGTATAGAGTTAATTTAAGAAAAAAAGTTACACACTTTAGTAGCTAGAATTAAACTTAAGAAATGCAAAATTAAATCTTCCAGTGACACTTCTACTACTGACTGATAACACATTTTCAAGTTAGAGTGTATTAACTGAAAGAGTTATAAGAAAAAGTGGTGCAAATTTGTACAGAACATTTAAAAATATTAAGAGGGACGTTAAAAACAACAGATTTTAGAGTTAACTAAAATATATGCTGTAATTTAGAAATATAAGTAACATCATTAGGTAATTTTAGGTAATAAAACCAACTTACCAGTGTCAGTCTGTTTTTGCCTTTGTGAGAAAAACAAAGATCATCTGTTTTGATACAAGTTGTAAAAAAGTAAATACTAGCCAGTGAGTAAAAAGCATTTCTAAATTACTTGAACACAGCATGCATTCCTTGCTATTTAATGGACTTTAAGAAAAGTACTTATGCTCCTTTACCTTTACATTTTCTTAAAGTAATTTTAGGTGTTTTTTTTGTCCCCTTGCAATTTATTTCAAGTTCATTCACATAGGTAATGAGTATTCCCATCAAATGAACATCTGTCAAGTACTGAGGGTCACAGAGCAAGAAAGAATTAAAACACAAAACTTCAGAAACTTCCCTAGTGTGACACTGTAATGAACTCTTTGAACCCTCTACTGCATAATTGTGGTAAAGATCACCAAAGCTCCCTCACTGTTTGTGAAATCCATCCTGCCCTCAAATCCTAAAGCTAAATTCCCTGGTAGTGACTTCCATAACCTAATTCACAACAAAAGTCTGAAGACAGGTTTTCCTGTTAAAATGTGATATTCATACTACCAGCACATTATTAAGTCTATCTAGTCCTGAATTACAAGAGGTCACTTAAAGCAATCACAACCTGTGAAGGTATAAAAGAATCCTTTCTTTTCTCCAAGAAAAGGTTAAATATTAGTCATCTCTGCTTTCCAATCTACTGGAAACAGAATATTAAAAAAAAAAAAAAAAAAAAAAAAAAAAAAAAAAAAAAAAAGGAAAATTCTTTCCAGTAAAAATCTGCCTGAGGTAGAAATTTAAAGCAGCATACATACTACTTAAGCTTCATCTATCAGGGAGCAAAATTGTTAACAATCCGAAATCACATGGATGGATGCTGCTTAAGATACTGAAGACAGAAATCATGGCAGTAATTTATCCCTGAATTTCATATTTAAAATTTACCACATTAATACTATGAGTTTTTATTAATATATAATTGTTTTAACTAAAAAGAAAGTGCTTGCTTTCATAATCCACACAGACATTATTGTAAACATCACACTAACAAACTCCGTATTCATTCTAGTTTGAAATGATGTATTTTAAATGGACAGATTTTATTTATATTTTTCCAGTTTCCTAGAACTTCTTTTTAAAAAGGCTTTCATTCCTTATTTAGAATACTGAGATTTTATACATTTTAAAATGAACCATGTTGAGTTTGCCTTCATAGTGTTCAGTTTAGTGTGGCCAAAAGACTTAATTTCTCAGTTGCCTGACTGCATTTTAACTGACCTGTGATACAATTAAACTTAACATCATTAAAAATGAAATTTTGATGCCTCTCTAAATTCAGCTGAGCTAGAAAAAATAAAATCAACTATTTTGAATGATGAAAGAATACTCATTTTATGTACAGACTTCTTAGGTCCAAAATAAACAAAAGTCCCAATTCCAAATGAATGTAATAGAAGATCCTTACACTCTTCTAAAGTAACAGGTGCAATGCATATAAAACATAAAGAAAATCATTATGGAATTCAATACTGTCAGTCATTAATATGGCAGACTTGCAAGAGATAGTTTCATGAAGACACTGGAGTTTTAAGTTTTTTTTCTATTGAAAGACAATTCTGGGCTTCAGTGAAGTTCAAGATATTTCCTCCATTTTTAATTGTGTAGTACAAATCTGCATGGCATAGTATATCTCTGAAAAAAGCAATACACATTATTAAGAAAATAGACACTATTATTTCTAAATTTTGTTAGGAATAAGAAGGCACCACTGATTTGAGGTTGTGTCCTGTTGTCACTGATAGTTGATTTTGAGTTGTTTATTTCAGTATTTGATCTTATTAAATTTTTTTCCCAGGTGATATCATTTAAAATCATCATTGTGGCTTACGGACCACAAACAAGACACATTCATAGTAGTATTTCATCATAGAGAGATCATTCACAGTATACGTTGATAATACAGATTCTTTTTCCACCTGCAATGCAATCAGTAACAATGATGTTGATGATGATGATACCACAATATTGAACACATAACTGGCAGGCACTTTCTTAAGCATATCCATTTTTCACTCCTACCCCAAAAGACTGGTACTACTAGTAATTCCACTTTACAAAGAATAAGTAGCATAAGTTACTCAAGGTCATACCACTAATATGTGGTGGAAGTGGGTTTCAAACTTGGAAGTCTAACTTAGAGCTTGAACTCTAAACTATTGTGATACCTTGTTTCTCTCTATTCTTACAAACAAATCTGTTGTTTTCCTTTTTAAATGAATGAAATGCTTCAAAATAAATGAACTGAAACACAATAGCCAAAGCATCATAAAAACTTGTTTAACACATATGGTAAAATGAAGATTAAACAATTATAAAAGAACATGCAGAGAACTACCATTATACAGTATTCAGACGAGATCGGGTGCGTTCAGGGTGGTATGGCCATAAATAATATACAGCAGTATACCTGCTCCCTACCCCATTCTACTTTCTCCAGAACCTAGTCAGTGAATTTACCAAGGCCATTGTAATGATTAATAATATGTATTGAAAGCCGTTTTCAGCAGGGATTCGTTTTTTTACATACACAATTCCAAACCTTTATAATTCTGAAAGCTTTATTTATCTTCACTTTATGGGTGAGAATATAGGGAAGAAGTAAAACCAGTAACGATTGTACCATCTAATTTCCTACTTAAAGGCTTTGGAAGTCGAACTTCAACAGTATTTCTTTCCATTCTTACCTCTACCTGGAATCCATATTGCAGAACAACATTTTTTATGTCCTCATAGCTCAATTCTATGGATAGTTCATTTGCCAAATTTTCAAAGTGGTACAACAGAGGACCTATGATTTAAAGACACAATGAGTGAACTGCTTGAATAGAAGCATGCACTAGTAGCTAAGTTAGATTGAATTTCAAGTTTAAAAAATAGAGCAGTAGATAAGAAAATCATAAAAAGGAGAACTATGTAATGGTTCTAAGGACACTTATCCAATACCTGAAACTCTGGCCCACTAACTAACCTGAGTTGGGCCTGCTCTCATGGGGAGTGAGTAACTTTGGGTGTACCTGCCCCGCAGTGTGATTACCCACACCGTGGGCCTTCACTTGAACCTCTTCAGAGCATACTAAGTGCCCAATTTCCAAAGGAATATGGTGATTATAAGGTTAACCATAAGATCAACCACTGAATTTGATTCCATTTTCATCCAATTCAGGTTGCGACCAGAACTGTGGAATTAAGTTCATGAACCGATGTACCACGGTAGTTCTGTAAGTAAAGGCAAAACTGCAGTTATTACAAATGAGTTTTATAAAAACAGAGGACTCAAGGCAGACTGAATAGTTATGAAGAAGGCTTTCTAGAAGAGGTGACACCAGGGACAGGGATTTAGCTCAGTGGTACCATGCCTGTCCGGCAGGCATAGGGTCCTGAGTTCAATCCCCAGTACCAAAAAAGAAAAAGAAAGAAAAAGGAAGAGGTAACACTACAGCTCATGTTTTAAGGGCATCATTCATACACCAGCTCTAACATCTATTAATTCTACTTCATCTTAGCATGACTTTAATGTGAGATAATATGCAATACAACTGTAATAAATAAGGCACTAAATAACAACTATTTACTATTCTCTCATCCCATACATTCAAGGAATTAAATATCATTCAAACCAGCATTGTCCAATGTTTCACTCTCTCATATTTTGCTCAATCCATCAGCTTCATTTAAAGGACAGTATCAATTAATGCTGTTATACCTCAGACTAACCTAACCTTCTCTTTACCATTCATTGGGTTAATTATAAATCTTACATCATCCAGTTCTCTACATAGCCCCACTCCTCACACAATATGCTAATCATGGGAGATTAAGGGCAAAAATTAGTGTGTGTGTCTGTGGGGGGGGTTGATATGTACTTGTAATATCAGCTGTTCAGGAGGCTGAGACAGGAGGATCTTAAATTTCAGGCCAGCTTGGACAACTTAGCAAGAGCCTCTGATAAAATAGCCTTTTTTCCATAACATATCTACACCAGTGATTCTTATACACACAGCCCTATTTTATCTCTACTGAGGCTGTGTTCCATCTAGAAGGCTGTATCCCTCCAACTCAATTTAGCCACGCTTTAAAACCTTACTGCAACCTATCCAAGTCTTCAGCCTCTAGCTCATTTAATGCTGTGTTGCACTGCTGATCATTTTTATGTAATCAGCAACATTTTTAAACTAGGTTACAAGCTGTGTGTTAAGGGACACATCTGAGTTTCTTTTCATTCCACCAAAATGCCTAGAATAGTGCAGAACTGTAAAGTTTAAGCATTTACAATTTTACCATTCAAAGAAACATTGTGGTATATAGTTTCTACTTTTTATTACAAATGGAACTTGAACAAATATCTCACATATTTCAGATTTTCCTTTACAAAGAATTTTTTAACTTGGGATAGAACAATTGAGGCCTCTGCACTGAACTATATATACTCAGCCCTGAGTGGTTTTGTTTCTGTTATTTGTTTTTTTGAGACAAGGCCACAATAAATTGCTAAGTTACCCAGGCTGGGTTCAAACATGTGAACCTCCTCCCTCAGCCTCCCAGAATGCTGGGTGTGTGTCACCATGACCAGCTACAAAGACATTTCTTAAAGGCTGAAGAGAATAAACATTTTAACTTATGTCATTCAAACTGCCAACACACTTTCTGAAAGTTATAGGTTGGCAGTCTTTTATCTGGAATACTTAGAAGTGTTTGTGGATTTTGGAATGTTACTATCTTGGGAGGAACCCAAGTCTACACACTTGAAGCTGTCAGGTCTAAAAAATTAATGTTTTATATATACCTTATACACATATCTTAGAGGGTTTTTTTTGTTTTTTTGGTGTTTTGCTTTGTTTTCAGGGCTTGGGATTGAACCCAGGGACTTGAGAATGCTAGGCAAGCCATCTACCACTGAGATACCCCTCAGCCCTTCAAGGTAATTTTTTATATTTTTAGACAGCATGCATTTCAACTGCACTCCACTGCATGGGGTCAGATGTAGAATTTTCCATATATACAGGATATAATATTGGTGCTCTAAAAGTTTTTATTGTGGAGCATTTCATACTTGCAGGTTAAAGATGCTCTACTTATTTTAAGTGTTCACTCATAACTGCAATGCATTTTTATTTTAGCAAGGGGTGGGATGTAATGGCTCAGTTATTGTGGAAAGAGTCTCATAAAGTCATAGAAACACTGTATGTGACCTGGAAATTCTAATTAAATTCTAATAAAAGCTATAAACCCAAGAGAAATGAAAACCAGTGGCCACATGAAGATTAGCACCCAAGTGTTAATAGCAACTTTATTCACAATCATAATAATCTGGCACAACCTAAATGTCCATGAACTAGTGCATGGATAAATGGAATACAGTATACCTGGTAGAATATTACTCAGCAAGGAATGGAAACCCACTGGCTCATGCAACAACATGGACGCATCTCAAAAGCACCATACTAAGCAAAAGAAACCAGAGACAAAAGGTAATATACTATATAATTCTATGTAGAGGACGTTCTGGGAAAGGCAAGCAAACCAAAACAGTGACTGCCAGGTTTCAGCAATAAGAGAGAGCTGATGACAGCAGGACAAGGAGATTTTTTAGGGGTGATGAAAATGAAATGATCCTCATCTTGACAGTGGCATGGTCACATGATTGTTCAGCTTTCAAAATGCATCAAACTACATTTCTTTAAAAAGAATTTTATCATATTAATTATAACTCCCAAAATCTGACTTTAAAAAAATTTTTTATTAAACCGAGTATTTGCTGATTTGCTTAAGGGAAAAATGATAGGCCATCCACAGATAAAAGGAATTAGCATTTCCTTGAAGTTGAGCAGTCTTTTTGTACTTCCTACTTTCCCATTCTTTAAAAGAACATTCACCATATTGTTTGCTTTAAATGTACCAATAAATTTAAAGGGGAAAAATAAAAGAACATTTACCAGCAGCTAGTAAATGTCTGGCTGGATACATAAAGATGACTAAAACACGGATGCCCTTCTCCAAGAGTTCTTTACTGTCTCAACACTTATGTCTCTAGATAGTCTTTCAGTAGTCACAACAGAAGGAGCACAAACATGTATTTTTCCTCAAGAATAAACATAATGTAAACTAATAGAAAGTTGAACAAAAAAAGCATAAAAATAAAATTAAAACCCTATCTAATGCATTCACTATAATCTCTTTGAATTTTAATGTATTTCTTCGCCATCTTTCCTTGATGTGTGAGTGATACTATATACATAGCTTTGTTCGCTACACTTCATTAGACGCTGCACATAACTCTCAGGTTATCAAAAAGCTAGACTTTTACGCAGGGAGCCTGACAGCTACAGATTTGCAGGTGGGAAAAAATCACTGGTGAAAATATGAACTGTAAGAAGCACAGAGGGCTGCTGGTAACCTGGAGATGGGGAGTCTCAAAGGAAATGATTACAGTAACCCTGACACTGGCGAGCAACGATGGAATGAAGAGCAACTTTGCCCCTCCCCGGCACATCTGCCAATGTCTAAAGAAATCTTTCTACTGTCATGTCTGGGACATACTGGAACCTAGCAGGAAGAAACCAGGGATGCTGTGCACCACCTTACAATGTACAGAAGAGAACCCTTGCTACTTCCACTGAAAAATCCAGCCCCAAATGTCAGTAGTGCTAAAGATGAAAAACTAGGACAGAAAGAAATTTAGGAGCTTTTAAGGAGACTTAAGAGATAAGACTTACCCAAACCTCGTTTCAGAAAGGGGGAATCAGAGAGGATATTAATGAAATTGAGTCTAAAAAACAATTTAAAGTATCAACAAATCAAAGAACTGGTTCTTTGAAAGAATAAACAAAATCCATAAACTCTTAGCCAAACTATTCAAAAGAAGGAGAGAAATGACACACATCAATGCAATTAGGAACAAAAAAGGTAAAACACGAGATTTTAACTACTATGAAAAACTACTCCAACAAACTGGAAAATACAGAAGAAATGGACAGATTTTTTAGACACCAACAGATTACCAAAACCAAGGTATACATTAAAATTGTGAACAATCCAATAATGAGCAAGCAATAAAACTGAGGAAAAAAAAAAAACTCTACCAAATAAGATAAGCATAGGACACCTGTGGATTCACTGCTGAATTCTACAAGACCTTCAATGAGGTTACAACACCAGTATTTCTCAAACTCTTTAATGAAAACTGACAGTGGAGGAGTGTTTTTAAACACATTCACAGAAGCCAGCATCACCCTCATCCCAAAACCAGACATAGATCCAATTAAAAAACAAAACTACAGGCCAATTTCCTTAATGAACATAAATGGAAAAATCTTCAATAAGCTTGGCAAGTATTGGAAACAAATGTGTGGTACAAAAGACACCAAGACCAAGTAGGTTTCATCACAGGGATGCAAAGATGGTTCAGTATAGGCAAATCAAATAAATAAACAGAAGGCCAAAAATCACAAAATCACATTAATTGATGCAGAAAAAGCTTCACAAAATCCAACACCTAATTCATGATAAAAATCCTGAAAACACAGAAGAACCGGTACCTCAATCTGACAAAAGCCATTTATGCACATAGCCAACATCATAATAAATGGGAAGATGCTGAAAGTATTCCCTCTACAGTCAGGAACAAGACAAGGACATCCACTTCCATGACTGCTTTTTAATATAGTACTTGAAATATTAGCCTGAGCAATCAGGCAAGAGAAAAAGATAAAAGGAATAAATATAAAAAAGGAAGAAATCAAATTATCAATATCTACAGATGACACGATGCTCCATATAGGAGGACCAAATTATTCCACTGAAAGAACCTAGAATTAGTAACCAAATTCAGCAATGTAGAAGGATACAAAATTGACATGCAAAAATCAATAGCATTCCTGTACCCCAATAATTAACTCACTGAGAAAAAAAATTAGGAAAACAGTATTCTCAGTAGCAACAAGAAAAACTAAATACTTAGGAATCAACCTAACCAAGGAATCAAAAGATCTCTGCAATAAAAATGACAGAATTCTGGAAAAGGAGATCAAAAAGGATATCAGAAAATAGAAAGATAATCCTGTACCTGGATAGGCAAAACCAATACTGTCAAAATGGCCATAATTCCAAAACTGATACACAGAATTAATGCAATCCCAGTCAAAATACCAATAACATTCCTCACAAAACTAGAGAAAATAATCCTAAAATTCATATGAAACCAAAAGAGACCCACAATAGCAAACACAATCCTGGGCAGTAAGGGCAAAGCAAAAGATATCACAATCCTAAACTTCAAATTATACTATAAACCTGTAGAGACAGAAACCACATGGTACTGTACTGACAAAGCAATAACAACAAAAAAACAGACACATGGATTAATGAAACAGAACATAGGATGTAGAAAAAACCCCAGACACACTCATCCGCCTGATCTTTGATAAAGGAGCCAGTAACAAATACTGGAGGAAAGAAGCCTCTTTAGCAAATACTGCCAGGAAAACTGGCTATCCACATGCAGAAGATTGAAGCTAGGCCCATTATCTCTCACCATGTACTAAACTAAAATCAAAATGGATCAAAGATTCAAATATTAAAACAGAAACATTTAACCTGCTAGAAGGCAGAATAGATAAAACTCTTGAAGTCACAGGCACAGGCAAGGACTTTCTGAACAGAACTCCAATTGTACAAGAAATAACAGAAAGAGTCACCAAATGTGATAACAAATTAAAAAGCTTCTGCACAGCAAAGGAAACAACAGAGCAAAGTGACAACCTACAAGGTGGGAAAAAATTTCACCAGTTACACTTCTAATAAAGAATTAACATCTAGAATATATAAAGAACTATAAGAAATTAAGACCTCCCAAAATAAAACACCCAATCAAAAAAAGGGTAATTAAAATGAACAGATACTTCCCAGAATAGAAATGGGCAATAAATACATGACAAAATGTTCAGTATCACTGCCCATTAGAGAAATGCAAATTAAAACAATATTGAGGTACCATCTTACTCCAGAAAGAATGGCTATCATCAAGAAATTAAAACTAGAAATCAGATATTCCTAACAAAACCAAAAACAGAAATTCCATTTGACCCAGCTATTCACCTTCTAACAATCTTCTCAAGATTCTCAAGAATCTTCTCAAGTGTTAAAGACATCCTATTACAGCAGTACACATATACCAAAGTTTATAGCAGCACAATTCATAATATGTAGCTAAATCTTGGAAGCAGCCTATATATCCACCAACTGAAAAATGGACAAAGAAAATGTGATATCTATACATAATAGAATACTACTCATATAAAGATAAATGTGAGTTATTTGTAGGAAAATGGAAGCAACCTGAAAACATATTAAGTGAAATAAATCAGATACATAAGCTTAAATACTGCATGATTTCTCTCATATGAGAAATCCAAAGTATAAAGAGCAAAATAAAAGACAGATAAAAGGAAATAGGAAAACTAGATCTTTTTGGAGGCAGGGGGAAGAGGACACAAAAAGAATCAAGATGTACATGTATCAACTACCCACAATGAATGTAATCATTATGTGTCACAAAACATGAACTAGAAATTAAGAAGAACAGAGAAGGGAATTAAGATATGTTAATTTCAAGGAGAGGAGGGGGTGAAGGGAGGGCAGGGACAAGGGGAAAAAATAAGAACCAACACCTGTCATGTAAACGTACAGGATCCCAGTAACGAATGTAACTGTACTGCATCCCTAAAATGTACCAATAAACTCAATGAGGAAAAAAGATATGTTAATTTCACATTCTTGTTTCCTAAGATGAATGTAAACATTATATACTGCAAACATACATTAATGAAAAAAAATTCTTACAACAAACTTGTGTAAACCATAATCATTACTGCTGACATGTCAACTTCACTGGATGAAGAAATGCCTAGCTGATTAGTGGAGGACACCTAAATGTGGATGGGTCAGGCAGGCATGACCTTGGGTATTACATACGGTCCCTGGCCCTTCTTCTCTGGCTCTCTTCCCCTGCTCTGCTTCCTGGCTGCCATGAACTAAAAACAGCTTTACTCTACCACACCCTTCTGCCAAGATGTCTGGTCCTAGAGCCAGTCAACCAGGGACTGAAACTATGAACTAAATTAAACCTTTCTTCCTTTAAGCTATGTGTTGGTATTGTGTCCCAACAAAATAAAACAGCAACCCAACCTGTGATATGTTGTTACAGCAGCCCAAGCTAACTAACGAAGGGGAAAGGAGTTTCTCACAGTTCTTTGGGAGAATCTAAGTACATGGTGGGGTAGAAAAGGCATGGACATCATTTTTTCAAAAGGCATAGATTTTGAAGTATCTGTGGTCTATCTAACTAGGACAAAAGACACTTGGATCAGAGATACAGAGGGGAATTGGAAAAGTAGGGAGTCATGAGATTGGATAGAAGAAACACATACAAAGAATGAGTACAGGAAACAAAAAGCAAAATACACTGATTAGATATCTAGAACATACCAGTACTTAAAAGAAAAACTGATTCTGAGATTTATATTTTAATTTATATGTGCAAAGCATTTTATTCGTGAAGTATTAACATTCCAAATAACTATTTTTAAAGTTTTTTTGTGATTCCAATTCTCAAAACTGCTTTCAATTTCCATGATTAAAAATCTGGAAGCTCTAAACAACTTACTATTAACCAAGGTGCTCCATGACTTCTGTTGACCACGACAGATCACTGGCCATATTGTAGGATAGCTACCCTTAGCTAAGTGTAGGGCGATGGGCCAATTTCATTTCTTCAAGGCAGTTCTGATTATTATTACTCAATTTAATAAAACAGTAATAAAGCAACAAAACAGGTATTCAAAAACAAAGCTGTTTCTATGAAAACTTGAGTGCTATGGAAATACACAAAACTGCTATAAATTATAGTAACTGTGATCAAAAACTTCAAACACATAAATACAGGGTCATATTAATACTAAGCTATAAAATGACAATAACTGTCAGACTATGAGTCTATCTCTGCTACATACAAGCTATAGGACCTTTTGCTAGTTATGTGACCCAACACTCAGCTTCTTCAACTACTTAACAGTGCCTTTTCAAAACAGCAGTGCTGATATGAAAAAATAAAAAAAAAAGCAGATGTTGGTCACTGCGGCATATGCTCTGTAATCTCAGCAACCAGGGAGAACCACAAATTTAACACCAGCCTGGGTACCTTAGCAAGACTCTTCCTCAAAATAAAAAGGGCTAGGGATGTAGCTCAATGGTAGAGTGCAACAGGGTTCAATCACCAGTACTGCAGTGGGAGTGGCGGAGATGACAGGAAAGATGGACCCCAACCCTCAGACATAAACCTAGACCTATTCTGAATATCAAGAACTCAATACCAGGTGCACACATCCCTGTACACAGTATGATGACCCTAATCCAGAGAGCCTCTGTATTTTAGCTTTGTGTCTTTCTGAATACAAATTATGTATCTCACTAAAATATATATATTTACCTTAATCACATTATTTTATATTCTTTTTATTTTAAAGAGAAGAAAACACAATTTCCTTATATCCTGAAGAGGAGAAATCCTGACGTGTGCATCATGTTTCTAGTGTCAAGCAGGAGAGCTGCAGTGCAGGTTTTTGTCTAAATGAAATGATATTTCTACTCTCTCTTAAAGTTGAGGTAGTCAGAAAAATAATCACACTTCATCTTTTCCTAGTAAATGGATGTACTGGTGAGGACTCCAAGGGAGAGTAAAATTCTCTCCCCCAAATTCTTCATTAAGAAAAAAAGAAAACAAAATGGACTGCCTTCTCCACGGAGCAGGGAATAGGAAACATGAGGGAATGACTACCTAACCACTAGATAAAAAACTTGTATACTCTGAAATTATGACTCCTGCAGAGGGACCTAAACACAGACAGACAATGCACAGTACTAAGATATAGTCTAAGGAAACTGGACTACTAGTGTAGTCTAAAGGAAACTGCAGAGGTTTTAAAACATACAATGTAATTATAACTTTCATGAACACTGTGAAGTTACTAAATGTAAAGCAGATATAGGTGCTCAAATGAATGTGAAAATTTTGATAAACAGGAAGCACTTACCAAGATTTATCCAAATTCCACCTGGCTTGAGTATTTTCCATATTGTATCAATATAATCAATTACATTGTGAGCTGTGTCTATGAAGAAACAGGTGGCAATACAGTCCCAGGTATCTAACCAAGAAAAATCACTGCATCTGTTATTTTGCTTTTTTTCCTTTAAAGCTGACAGTTACCGCTTATGGAGTATTAATATTTTATTTAATTTCAGGGATATGGAAACTAAACTCATCTGATTGACATTATAATCAAAATAACCAAATAATCATTTATGGGTGATATTCTAGTTCATAAGGTATAACCAATCTGATAGGCAATTTGAAATCATTAGGAATAGCATGTATCAACAGATATATTTACCAATTAATATTTGAAAGTTTTATTATCTATTCAACTTCCTTAGGGCCAAGGATTTAGCTCAGAGGTTCTACCGCCTGCCTCACAAGCACAATGACCCGAGTTCAATCCCCAGTACCAAAACAAACAAACAAAAATCTATTCAACTTCCAGCCTTTATACTTTCTTTCACTCATTCATTCATTTTTTGTGGTGCTAGGGATGGGACCCAGGGCTTGTATATATGCTAGGCAAACATTCAATCGCTGAGCTATATCATTGCCCCTGGCTTTCATTTAAAATCTGCTAACAGGGCTGGTGATTTAGCTCAGTGGTTCTAGTGCCTGCCTCACAAGTGCAAGGGCCCGAGTTCGAGCCCTGATACCAATCAATCAATCAATCAATCAAATCTGCTTAGATACAACTTTAAATTCTGATTTAAACCAGTGCTAATCAACAATTCTGGCAGGCTTTAAAAAGAATGCAAGAACCTGCTGCCGGTTTGAAAAATGAATAATATCAAAGTGCCTAAATGCCCATCATGATTTGACTTAATTGCCAAGAAAAAAGAGGACCAGGGCAGTCAGATGCAGACAGTGGGTACCCACAGAAGAATGCCATTACCTCTGGAAAGTGGTGGCATGGCACGGGCATAGGCTGTAGATTAAAGGCACTCGTCTGTCCCGTGCACAGGCCCCTCATATTACCAAAGATTACCACACCATACACTCTCAAGCCCTGCTCCAGCAGAAAATAATTTTTCCTTGCTTAATACTTTCCATTATTTCACTCCTGTTTTGATATCCTGCTCCATAATTTTTATCCGATAATTAATATCTTTCATCTCTTCCTTTCTAACCTCAGGTACAGGCTATTTCAATCTTAGAGTTCAGGGTAAAATAATCAAAACCTTTCCACGTTATAAAAAATAGATAACAGAAACTTTCTTTGTTGTTACTGCCCTGCTGCAAGCCCTCTCTCCAGAGTCCTCCCAGCTCTCCCAAAGTAAGAGTCCTCGCTATGGCCTACAGCTCTCCCTCGCCATGCACACTACTCACTACATTACAGCTCCCTGGAGAACAAGCAGTCTCTCTCGCCACCATCTTCCCTTGCCACTTCCTCTGTCTGCAGCCCCCGCACTCTTCCCACCATTATCTGAATGTCCTGGCTTTTCGTTCTTCACTAGAGAGTGGACTTTTTTGTTAAAGCTTGTTTTTAAAAAGGCCTTCCCTGACAACTCTACATATAACAGCAGGCTGTCCCAAGTCCCCCTGTATGCCTTAAGCCCTTTTTTTTTTTTTTTTTTTTTGG